TCACAAAAGACGACTCCCCAACACCCCCAGTGCGGGTGTACTGGGAACAATTGAGAGAAATGTTGTCTAGTTTTTCCCATCAGGTTGAAGGAAGTCTCGACCTCTGCGAGAAGGAGGCCTCGGAGGATCCACCAGCCTGGGTCCGTGTGAAGGTGTTCAAAAGGAAGTGGAACGAGCCCCGCTGGACCGGACCCTTTGAAGTGGTGGCCCGCACTCGCAAAGCTGTTCAACTGAAGGGACACGGGAACAAGTGGTTTCATCTCTCTCATACGAGACCATCTGACCCACCCTCGTAACCACGCTCACGGGTTGGACAGGGACTCACACACACGTTTACACTCCCTCTTAATATGTTGCCTTGGGACAGGGAGCCCTGGCCCACGACCAAGAGAGGGAGAGCCATCCTATGGGCTATCGCTGCAGTTGGTTTGGTCGTGGTCCTGGGAATTTTAACATGGGAAGTGTTAGAAAACACACAGCTAAGAGACAGGGCCAGACTTGTAACACAATCCAGTCTTTGGTCCAATAAGACTGACAGAAATAAAAGATCCATAGGAGAAGACAGCGTTAGAGACTCTCTACCTACGATTGTGACAGTAAAATGCCCGGTGGGTGCGACAATTACAGCCCACATACCAATGGCAACAATCTTTCCATTATCCTTTCGACCTGACTACACACTCTACCTGTGTTACACTCCGTCTACATGTAAATATGAGAGACATGGAAAAAGCTTTAGAGCATCGGTGGACTGCACCTGTGATGCTTGGGAGTATGTTATATCCAATACAGGTCCGGATTGGGGTTATAATAAGGAACACAGACTTAAGGGACGAGTGATTCTGACTACAGACCACTCACAAACAACGGTGCTAGTCACTGTGAAAAATTGTGGGATTGATGTGAATGGGACTTACGTTATTGGACATTATCCAGGAGACATTAGACAATGGATTTCAATTTCCATACCCGAGGACAAGGAGCTAGACAAGGAGGCCATAGATAGTGAAGTATGGCAAGACAAACAGAACGTACAGGTGACGGCTGACTGGACTGTTTCTGAATTGTTAAAACAAGCAACTGGATATGGGGATAGAAACGCTTGGTTGTGGACCGTGGAACACATGTCAGCGGCTGCTGGCTTTGACGATTGTGTTGTGTGCTCCACTGCACGTCCCACTTTGTATACAGCCCCTGCTCCACTTTTCCCAGAAGATGTAGATGGTTATAATTGTATGATAAAGTTGTTTTGGCAAGAAAAAGACCTGACTGAGGAGACAAAGACAGCCCCTAGTAATTGTTCAATGTTTGAAGTATTGTTCCCAGAATTGGATTCAGAAATTCAGCCCCCTATGTTTTCCCACAGGAAAAGCAATTACACCTGTTTCCACTCACTCAATGGAAGGACGAGGCCGCGTCTCCAGTGGGGGTTCCTTCCAGCAGACTGGTGTGTCAACAACGTCACCCTGCCCAGTCCGGTCCCCATGACCCGGACCAGAGGTGATTTGTATTGGTTGTGTGGAGATTTAAAACTTAGACATAGACTAATAAAAAAAATTACCGGTAGTTGTGCAATGGTGCGATTAATGATGCCCATTTCCATAATTGGCCATAAGCCATCCCTAGACAGTCCCCACCCACAGCATAGATTTAAAAGGGCAATCCCATTCCTAGATACTGGGAAAGATAATCCAACTTACATGGACTCTATAGGTGTTCCACGTGGAGTCCCTCATGAATTCAAACTGGTAGATCAAATTGCAACAGGTTTCGAAAATATTCCAATAATTTCAGCTATTTTCCCTATTACGCCAAACAAAAATGTAGATAGAATTAATTTCATTTGGTATACTATGCTCAGGCTTGCCAATCACACCAGGGACGCAATAGAGGGATTGGCGGAGCAGCTTGGGGCCACCTCTCTGGTAGCATTTCAAAACAGAGTGGCTCTAGACATGCTATTAGCAGAGAGAGGGGGGGTCTGCAGTTTATTTGGTACAGAATGTTGTGTATACATTCCAAATAACACACATCCAGATGGATCAGTTTCCAGGGCTCTGGCTGGTCTCAAAATACTGTCAGAGCAAATGCATGACGTTTCTGGAGTCCCGGAGAACCCACTGGAGGCGTGGCTGGACAGCATCTTGGGGAGGTGGAAGCATGTAATTTTGTCTGTTATCACAAGCCTTGCGGCCATCTTTGCAATAATAATGGTTGTAGGATGTTGCTGTATACCTTGTATACGTTCTCTTTGTGTTAAAGCTATAGACACTGCTGTTAACCCTGGACTGAGAGGTCAAATGCTCGCATTGGTTGAGGATTCCCCCGTCCCGTCGCCCGAGGAAGGTTATTGAAAGGTGTGGCCTTTTTAAGAGCGGCCAAGAGAGGGAAACTGTTGTATTAAATATAGACTAAAAGCCGATGTGAATTTGATTGACCCGGAATTGAACTCTGTATTTTTCCAAGCAAAAAAAAGACCTTGTATTGCTCTTCTCCCCTAGTCCCATTTTTGTCCAAAGTGCATAGGTGAGTTAATGATAGGTAATCTGGGGGGGTTCTGCTAATCCTTCCAGTTGTTTGAAGAAGGAGGGGGACCCAGAGAGCCTCCGGCCTTATCTCAAGGAAGTAATATTTCTATAGAATTAGGGAGGGGTAGTGCGTGAATGATTTCTGTTCAGGTTTGGCGAGACGGAGGAAAAGGCCGGACCTTGGACCAGAGACCTGCCTGATACGACACGCCCCCTTCTTCCTGCACATTTACTTAATGAATAGCTTGAATGTGTTTAGTTAGTTTTTACCGGACCAGGGACAGTGTGTGACTTGATGTGGAGCGCCCACTCAAAGTTATACTTTTATACTTATATAACAGTAGAGTAAGGAATAACCTAATAAGGGATAGACTTTTGGTATCTCTGACTGCCACCCCCCTGACCCAGAAATGGATTAAAGGGTAGAAAATGGATGGATGGATGGAAATAAACCTTTTTGAATTTAACTTTCTGAATCATGGTCATCTTTACCGAACAGCTGTTTTAGATTCTTTTTGTATTAGGGAAATAAACCTAATAAGGCTGGTGCTATGAGACTTGGGTGGCATCTCTGACTGCCACCCCCCTGACCCAGAAATGGATTAAAGGGTAGAAAATGGATGGATGGATGGAAATAAACCTTTTTGAATTTAACTTTCTGAATCATGGTCATCTTTATAAGGGATTTTGAACACGTCATTTTTTTAATGCGTTACTATGATGTGACTGTCTCTGTGTGACACGAAAGTCTTTCGATGTGTGACTTGACAACGACTATATAAACTGTGTACTGACTCCATTCTGTCTGAGAGAAAGAAACAATTGAAACCACTGGAACTTGAGAGAAACTTAAACTTCCAGAGTTTGGCGCACCACGATCCGTCTCTGTCTGGTTAATTCCTGACAGATTTGGTGGAGGATGTGCGGCTCAGTGTGCGCCATTCTCTGGATTGTTTTGAGGGAGTTTCTTTTCCTCGGCATGAGAGACCGGCGTGCTGTGTCTGGGAGCGGAGATTCCAGCAGGCTGGAAGAGCTGTTCCTGGATGCTTCTTGTCGCTTCTGTCACTTTTGTTTTTAAATTGAATATTCCGACGCAGAAAAGAGGTTGGCAGACCTCTCTGACAGTCCTTGGTACCTGTTTGACAAAAATAAGGTAAGCAGACACCTTTTTATATGTAAAGTCTGTATAATTGGATACTAGCTAAATTTTGGTCTGTTTTTGGGGTCTGTCAAACTGTCTCTAAATTGTATTTGAAAAAGTCTCGGGGTTAGAGTCCCTTTGAGAAGAAGTCTCGGGGTTAGAGTCCCTTTGAGAAGAAGTCTCGGGGTTAGAGTCCCTTTGAGAAAAGAAAGCATGGTATAAAAAATTAAATTAAAATTAAAAAAGGGAGTAAAAACGAGTGCAGGGACCTTTGTCACAAAAGCTTTGAAATTGACGAATTTTTGCTAAAACACAACTTTCTGCCTGTGTGTGCACATCTCTATCTTGCTGCCGTTGCCCCCCCCCCCCCCCCCCACCCTCGCTGCGCTGCTGCTTCTGCTCTGATTTAAAGGGGACCTATTGCTTTTAGGATTTTGGCTTTTCATAGTTTTTATTACGTTAAATTTGCGATGGAACATTGTGTTATGACACAGTTAAACATTTTTAAACACATTTAGTGAATAGAAGTTTTGAATTATTATGTTTTTGAAACCCAAATATTAGTGCTAAAGCTGTGCAATTCTTTTTAGATCTGATAACATATTTCTAGATTCTATTCTTTTAAATCTGCTGATATATTTCATAACTGTTTGTGAGAATATTTTAATGTATCTTTTATTTTAGTTACAAAAGCCGTTTTTCAAAACATTTAAATTAGAACCCGTGTTAAAAGTGATTAGAATTATTGATTACAGACTGATTTTCTAAAAAGGAAAAGAGTGAGATTAGAATAATTATAAACGTATCATATTCCTCCTGTCAGGGATGAAGCAGACAGAGACGGATCGTGGTGCGCCAAACTCCGGAAGTTTATTTACGTTTCTCTCAAGTTCCAGTGGTTTCCCCTGTTTCCTTCTCTCAGACAAAATGGAGTCAGTACACAGTTTATATAGTCATTGTCACGTCACACATGGAAAGACGTACGTGTCACACAGAGACAGTCACATCATAGTCAAAATAATCAGAGTCCTTGTACAGTCCTGCACGTAGGCCATATTGCTATCTAATACTAACACTCACCCCTTTGATCACATAATCACATGTGATCACTCAATTTGATCAATCAATAAAGTGAAAAAAAAAAAACTTAAAAAAAAATGTATTAAAAAAACAAAGAAAATGTATGCATTAAACTTATAATCATCAAATCAATATCAGTGGATTTTATCCTCTATCCTGGGGGAAAAACAAAACAAAAATAAAGTAAACTAGAAATGGTACAATGGCTGAAGCCATTGTGAGTGGCTGCATAGATGTTGGAAGGGTTAGGGATGAAGAAGGAAGAGGAAGGGGAAGAAGAAGCAAGAAGAAAGAAAAGGGAAGAAGAGGAAAGAAGAAGAAGGAAGAGGAGGAGGAGGAAGAAGAAGAAGAGGAAGAAGGGGAAGAAGAAGGGGAAGAAGAGGAAGAAGGGGAAGAAGAGGAAGGAGGGGAAGAAGAGGAAGAAGGGGAAGAAGAGGAAGAAGGGGAATAAGAGGAAGAAGACGAAGAAGGGGAAGAAGAGGAAGAAGGGGAAGAAGAGGAAGAAGGGGAAGAAGAGGAAGAAGGGGAAGAAGAGGAAGAAGTGAAGAAGATGAAGTAAGAAGAATGTGTTGTAAGGGGCTGAAAGTGTTGTAAAGTGCTGAATGTGTTGTAAGGTGTTGTAAAGTGCTAAATGTGTTGTAAGGTATTGAATTTGTTGTAAGGTATTGAATGTTTTGTAAAGTGCTAAATGTGTTGTAAGGTGTTGAATGTGTTGCAAAGTGCTAAATGTGTTGTAAGGTGTTGAATTTGTTGTAAAGTGCTAAATGTGTTGTAAGGTGTTGAATTTGTTGTAAAGTGCTAAATGTGTTGTAAGGTGTTGAATTTGTTGTAAAGTGCTGTTTAGTGTTGTAAAGTGATGTAAGTGTTGTAAGGTGCAATAAGTGTTGTAAGGTGTTGAATTTGTTGTAAAGTGCTGAATGTGTTGTAAGGTGCTTTAAGTGTTGTAAGATGTTGTAATGTATTGTATCTGTGGTAATGAATTGTTAGTGTGGTAAAGTGTTGTATGGGGAGTAATCTGTTGTACTGGTCCAATGTAAGTCAATGGGAAAAAGTGCTTGAACTTTTGTTAATATCTGAAAAAGTGCTAAAGGTGGAAGTGTGAAAAGTAATAGCAATAATGAGACGGTGAAGCCGGTCGTAACTATGTATAATTTGTTGAATTTGGTGAAAGCGTTGAAGAGTTGAAGTGCCGAAATCTGGCGGAAGTGGAAGAAGAAGAATAAACAGTAGGAGAGCATATAGTGGCTGCATAGTCTATGCAGCCACTCAATAAATAAACAAAAAAACAAAAAAAAACGAGCTGAGTCTCAATTAGAAGCTAATTTCACTTTTCTTACTCTATACTTGTATTCTAATGCTAATTGTTTACACTTCACTCAATCTTATTTCACTGTATTATTTTCACTTTTCAATCTTACACTGTGTACTTTACGGTCATGATTCACTATAGTTTAAAACTATTCTAATCTATTTACAAATATGTTTGCATATTAGCTTTTATTGAGCCATATTCTTAAACTTACATTTTAATCTAATAAATCTCTCTGTGGTTTACTCTCATTATTATTGTTAGTGGGATTTTGCTCCATGTCTATTCTACGTTCTCAGGAATAAAACTGTGAACACAGTAAGACAAATGGTTCATATGAACATTATTATGTCGGTCAGTTTTCCAAAAATATTTGTTAAACCAGGAAGTGCTGTCACTTCCTCCTCTCAGGCAGTTTGGGATGAATGTACATCTTTAATCAAATTAGTATTATCCTTACAAGAGCTAATCTATTTTAGCAGGTTTGGGGTTGGGGTCAGTTATACAATGGTGTTTGATTCTCTAATCTGTGCTGGCGAATCGACAGCTAAATGCTTGTGAACATATTATGAAGGAAATGGTCCTTTTACAAATCAATTGCTAGAAATATTCTCTATTTTTGAAAACATCCATGGTTGATGCATTTATCAAATTCTATTTTGTGACTCTAAAGTTTGGTTGCAGCTTGAGCCAAGGCATATTTCTAGTTTGTGACTTTTGTCACAATTTAACATCTACTAAAACGCTACAATACTCATACTTTATCATTTTAAAACATTTTAACAGTTGCTCAGTCTCCCAGACTAAAAAGTCAAAGTTTTTGTCTGTCAGATGTCTGAATACTTGAATATTTGGTCACAGTTGTGGTTCTGGTTGTAGCAATAGCATCGGCAATAGACGTTTTTTTCATTGGCTGGTTCTTGTTCTGCAAATGGCTGTGTCCAATAGATCATCAGATGTCCAGAAGCTAGGGACAAACAAAAACAAAAGAAAGAATCATGAGTATCTCTCTCATTTAGCACTCATCAATGGCATGATTTTAATAATATTAACATCACTCCCCAGTTTTTCTCTCCAAGGTCCTCAGATCCTCAGGGTCCTCAGGTCCTCAGGGTCCCCTGCGGGTGAGTCTCAGTCGTCATCAGGTCAGGTCATATTTCGAGAGATGTCATCTTGGACATCAGTAGGGTCCAAGCCATGGTTTTGGTTACTCCAGATTCATTCTGGTCACTCCAGGTACATCAGGTCACTTGGGTTGCTCTTTGCGATGCACTTCTGGTCAATGGTGCAGTGTCACAGTTCCTGTACACAGCTTGTTATGCAATAGTTACTTTCTATGGTTAAGTAATTTTGATTCTACTTTAAAGACAATTTCTATTCATGCTGTTGCTAATGTTCCTCAGACAAAAGCAAGCACAATGATTCAGTTTACTTCTCTAATTTGTGTTTTTATCAGATCTAATCAATGTAATTACTTCACACAGTACAAAATCAACAAATCAAAACAAAAAATGTCGAGACAGGCCAATTAAGTCCATGACAATATAGAATTCAAATGAACATTTCTGGTCTCAAAAATACTGATTCAAATAAAGATTCAAGTGATAGACAATTAAAAATATTTGTTTACATTGGAGTAAACTTTTAAAATGCTTTTTTCTCATGTTCTGCTTTTTCATGCATCTATATGTAAATGTGAATGTGTGCGTGTATGTATGTGTGTGTGTGTGTGTATGCAGGGGTGCCGCCAGAAATTCTGGGCCCTATGGAAACAAAAATTTCTGGGCCCCCTACATTTTTTACAGATAAAATGTAACCCAATAAACATGCCCTGTATACTTTAAAAAAGATACTTAGCACATTGTATAGTTAAAATGTCTGATGAGTAAAAGCCTACAAAAACAAGAAAAAACTATGTAAATATGTACTTGTTTACATAAAAGGAGAATATTTATTATCGCAATTGCAAACACAACAGAACATAATGTACACATAGTGACATATACTTTACGTGAACAAGCTTTAACTGGGTCCAACTGCTCAATCAGGAAACATCAGCTACAACTAACCCATAATTAAATCAGTCCAAGACTAAATCTAAGCCAAAAGGGCTCAAAATCAAGACACACCAGGAGTAATGCCAGGCCTAAACCAGTCCAGGACTAAACAAGTACTGAACCAGACATAAACTGTTTGTTATCCAGGTATAACAAGTTATGTTCAACATCACTTTATAATGGCCCAGCGGCGTGCCTTTCTGCTGGCAAAATCATGTATCAAATCATCAAAGTTCAGCTTTCTTGCCAGTTTGCTTTCAATGGACAGTATGGCAAGGTGAAAAAGTCTGTCCTGCAACATAGCAGACCTAAGATAATTTTTAATCAGTTTGAGCTTACTGAATGCTCTCTCGCCACCAGCAACGGTCACAGGCAATGTGCAAAATATTCGCTAAACTATGCAGACCTGCCCAAAAATACTCTGCAGCTGCATTTTGTAAATGCTGTTGAGCAAATCAATTGGTGACAGACACCCTGGGAAAGTGGCCCTATATACAGAGTTGAGGTGTCTGACTTCATCTTCAAATTCACAAGTCAGATCAGTGTTGTATTTTGAAATCAATGGCTGGCATACAGAATGGATTTGATCATCACGTAACTGGCCCATTTTTTACAACTACAGAAAACTGATCCAAGATCTCAGCTGTTGTGGCAAACCTGGTACTTAAGTCACTGATTATGTGGTCCATCATGGGAAGAAACACTGTGTTTCTGAATATGGTGTCTGCACTGTGTTCCCTTGCTCCCTCTACCTCTGTCTCATCGTGAAACTGTTTTCTTTTCCTCTGGCGGCTGAATCCTGACCTGAACAGAGGGTTAATGTTCATCTGTTGTGCAACAAGTGATGCTTCAGAAAAGAAACTCTCCCATTCATCCCTCAGATGTTGCATCTCCTCCTGCAAAGCTCTGATATTTTCTGCCTCTGTCTCAAGAGTTAATTTCCCTGACTGGAGAATAATATTCCTTTTGTCAATGGCTTGCAGAACTTTGACCCAAACAGTCAACAGAAAAACAGTATCAAAAGTTTCAAAATACTTTTTTAGGCCGCTGGCTTCAGACCGAGCCTCTGGTGTCAGACTGCAGGTTGAGAGGATGGCATCAAGAGCTTCTAGGACACTGGGCAGGTGCTTGGCTATAGGTTGAACAGCCTTAACCCTTGAACTCCATCGAGTGTCTGACAGACGATGTAAAGTGCAACCCGTTTTTGCCTTAAAGATGGCCCATCGCTCTGGGCTGGCACTAACAAGGGCATAAAGACGATTGACAAAGCCAAAAAAGTTAGTAACCTCTGGACTTGATTGAGCTGCATGCACACCAACAAGGTTCAGAGTATGAGACGCACAAGGGGAAAAAGTAGCCAGCTTATTCTTTTTTAATAATTGGGCTTGAACCCCCTTGATTTTTCCAGACATGTTTGCCCCATTATCATAGCCTTGGCCCCTGCAGTCATTCAGATCTATGCCGTGACTATTAAGCACATTTACAGTACAACCATGTCTGCTATCTCACTTCCTGTTTTTTTGTGAAAATCTTTAAACTCCAAAAACCTTTCAACAACCTCCCATTTCTTGTTTTCTTGATCAAAACCTACATATCGTAAGAGCAATACATTTTGCTCTGTATGTGAAATATCCGGAGTAGCATCGCAAATGACTGAATAATAGACTGATTCCTCCCTTTCCTTAAGAATACTACTTAACACTCGTTTTCCACATAACTCAATAAATTCGTTCTGAATATCTGAGCTTAAATAGTGTGTCAGTCTTGTTCCTGTTTTTTTGTCTCTGACTTTTAGTAGATGTTCGTTGAGTAGTGGGTCATAATGGGACAGGAGCTCAAGGGTGCCCAAATGTTGCCATTATAAATGTCCCCCAAGTCTTTTGTTTTACCCCTAAAGGATAAATTTCGAGAGGCCAAGAACAAGGTTACATCTAGTATCCTCTTCAGAATAGCTCGATTTTTGTCTATTTCTGTTTGTATGAGCTTCTTCAGCTTGCTGTCTATTCCCCCAGGGACAGCTGCCATTACAGACTGTTCTAAGGTTTTCCATTTTAAGTAGCACTCCCTGTGTGCTTTGCTACTTTCGTGGTTAGGGAATTTATCATACATTCGACGCCATGTTATGTCTTTGATTTTATAACCATGTTGACTGCTTAGTGCGCTCATACAAGGTTTCTTT